TGACATTTTCAATTGAGTGTTCTTTAGTGTGAACTTCCATGTCGTTTGGAGGTGCACAACATTGTGAGTATTTCTCTCTGAATTGCTTGTTCATGGCATGCACTTTCTCCTGGTTGATTTGTGCCTTTCCTGTTTTCTCCTTGGGGGTCTTGATGCAATTGTGTCCTGATCTCTGTGTTGCTAACATTGCCTTCTTACTTTAGTTTACCTTTGACTCTCCTTTATGCTGTTTCCAGCCCACAGAACATTTTGTCTGCTTAACTACAAAACTGCACCTGTGCTGTCTTCTTTGGGGCATATGGAGCCTGCAACTCAAAGATGTCCTTGGGCTTCTCCAAGTATAAGGAGTTTTAACGGCCTGGGGTGGAGGATACTGTGCTGTTGATTTGTTTCTTTTTCATCTCTTTTTTCCCCCTCTATAAAAATTCTTTGGCAGCTGATCCTTCATTTCTCTTTACATATATTACTTTTTTGCTGACCTGATCCAATCACAAACCATCATTTCATCTTGTCTGGTCTACAAAGGTAAACTGTAGAGCCTGCCAGTATTGTGCATATCAAAGAAAGGTAAATCATTGTGGGTTGGCTTGAGATTGAAAGGCCTAGGCTCCAGTGAGGACCCATGGGGTGTCTGCTAGGCCTATACCAGGATGTGTTCTTAGCTGAGAATTCTGGGATGCTGCTATTTCTGGTGGAAATAGACTGAGTCTTACAGGAGTGACCTTCAGTCTACATGGGTGCACAGAGCCTTCAGCTGCTGGCTTAGACAATAAACTGTAACTACACTCGATCCCTCACTGTATTATACTGTCCCTCCTCCCCCCAACCCCAGCCCCATGCCTCCTGCAGGCACAAGAGCCATTTCTCCTGTCTCTGCTGATCTCACCAAGTCTGTAGCCTGATACTGATGAACCTGTGAAGCCCTGCCCTATTCTGCCAGCCACTGGGTGTGCCTGGACCTGCTCACTTTGCACTTGGCATTATAACAGTTTTTACATCTATTTGTCTGTCTGTCTTCTTTTGGGTTCTCCAAAGGGACATGACTGTAATATTAACACCCACACCACTGGAGCTTATCACATAGTGGGACCTTGGGGTAATAATGCATGGGAAACCCTTCTAGTTGTTGGTCAGGGGAATCCAAGAGACTACAAAAAAAAATCTAGGCTATTGCCCTTGTTTGACTACCAGTAAGACCCTATTGCTGGAGACATAGGACTTGGAGAAACTGAGCTGGAACTGACCTGAAAGTCTCCTCTGAAAAGCATTTCTAAGTCCTAAAACCACAATAATGACCACCACAAGATGATGTACCCAAGGATGCAATAGTAGCACTTATATTTTGGGAGTAATCAACAACCACTCAATTGGACTTACGGCCTGTTCAATAGGAGGGAAAGCATGGCTGGTACTGTAAACTTTGCCAACTACCTGTGGCTGATGAGGTCATGAACTCTGGAGGGAACCTACAACTGCCATGTTCCTAAATCAGTATGATTCTCAACTTCATTCTACATATCTATCTTTATATTCACAGATAAATGTATCTCTCACCCCTAATCAAAGAAGCTTTTCTTTTCAGTAGGCTAAGAACCATCACAGAAATCCACAGCTGGTCTAAATGCAAAAAACAATTGACCATGGGGTGCCCATCTCTGAGGGGTGCATCTACAACATAACCCTTATACCTAAGGCTCGGGGAACACTTCAGAAAAGGAGGTGGAAAGAGTGTAAGAACCCAAGGACCAGTATGTCTGCTACGAGATGGTGTCTTTTTATCTATGACAGAGTTGCACCCATGAAACCTTTTTTTAACCAATGAATGCTTATTTATTAAGCCCACACATGGTAGGGGTAGAGCTTGGAAATGCCTTTCCTAGCCATGGATGATACACAGCAGTCCTCGCCCAGCATCACGTCCCCACTCCTTCTCCTCTGCTGGGAGCATCTGAGACTTACATCATTTTCTACAATTACACAATATCCTGAAGGAAAAAGTACAGTGGTAGTCTCAGCTAGCGGAAACTGCTTTGTTTTTCTTTCATACCCATGAATCTTAACAATATGGTTGCTTAAACAAGACAGGCACAGTGACAATACCAGATGACAACCCAACATAGATGAGGGAATAAGTTTAACAGATGTAAAAGTACAAGCATTTATACAGAACATTTTGAACCATTCTGAAAAACATAAAAAGAGGATGAAATACATGATTTTAAAAATCTTACCCATGCCGGGCAGTGGTGGTGCACACCTTTAATCCCAGCACTTAGGAAGCAGAGGCAGGTGGATCTCTGTGAGTTCAAGGCCAGCGTGGTTTACAAGAGGTAGCTCTGGGACAGCTAGGGATACACAGAGAAAACCTGTCTTGAAAAGAAAAAAAGGAAGAAAGGAAGGAAGGAGAGGGAGGGAGGGAGAAAGGAAGAAAAGAAAAAAGAAAGAAAAAGGAAGGAAAAAGAAAGAGAAAGAAAGGAAGAAAAGAAGGGAGGGAGGAAGGGAGGGAAGGGGAAAAAAGGAAGGAAGGAAGGAAGGAAGGAAGGAAGGAAGGAAGAAAGAAATGCTTGCTCTGTGCCTTGGGAGGGTGAATCAACATTTCAAAGACATTATTTCTCCTGAAAGTAAATTATAAATTTAATCAGGCCTATTAACAATGCCATCAAACTATTTCATGAAGTTAGGTAAGTTGACACTAAGTTTCATGGAGAAAACATGTTTAAGAGTAGCCAAGAAAGGACTGGAGAGATGGCTCAGAGGTTAAGAGCACTGACTGCTCTTCCAGAGGTCCTGAGTTCAATTCCCAGCAACCACATGGTGGCTCACAACCATCCGTTATGAGATCTGGTCCCCTCTTCTGGTGTGCAGATATACATGGAAGCAGAATGTTGTATACATAATAAATAAGTAAATAAAAATCTTAAAAAAAAAGAGTAGCCAAGAAAACCCTAAAGGGGAAGCCCTAAAAGACATTAGCACACACTGTAGTGCCCCTGGGGTTCAGGTAGCGTGGCACCACAGCTGGAATGGATTAGTGACTGGTGGAATGAAAAGAAAAGTCCATAATTAGACCCCAGCATACATGGGGACTTGTTTACACGATTAAAATGGTATCTGAGATAACTGTACTTTAAACATAGATCAGTGGTATAACTGAAGAGTCACATATTTGAAGACAAACATGGATATGTATCTCATACCCTACACAAGAGTAATTGAGTATCTGAGACATCTAAATGTAAAAGTTGAGGCCAGGAAAGCACCAGAGAGAAACAAGGAGCAGTCATTTTAATATCTGCATGAGAAATGGCTTTCTAACTGTAGCTCAGACTTATCATCGTAAGCAAAGTTAGAAGACAAAGGACCATGTGGGAAAGCATATTTATAGCCTCCTTCTCTGCAGAGACAACTCCTTAAAATGAGACCCCACATGATAGTGTGAAGCTATAATCCTATCTCCTAGGAGATGGAAGCAGAAGGATAAGAAGTTCAAGGTCATCCTTTGTCTACATACCATGTTTGAGGCCATTCTGGGATATAGAAAACCTGTCTAAAGAACAACAATGAGAAACAGGTAGCCAGAATCCCAACAGAACAATTAATTAAAACTCAAAATGCAAAAGAAGTTCTAAACAAAGAGCGATGTTCAAACATAACTATAATTACTGAAATGCAAATTAATACATCGATTCTCACCTATCAAACTTACAAAAAACTGACAGCACATTCTGTTGGCCAAGAACATAGAAAAACAGACTTTCAGACATCAGTGGCTGGAATACAAACTGGTACATCCCATCTGGAGGGAATTTTGTCAGAACAAAAGGTCTATCTATATTTGACCCCATTTCTAGAAAACTGCTACCCTACAGGTACAACTCCAGTGATAAAAAATGCATACATGCTAGAATGGCCATTGCTTCTAACTGCACAGCACTGAAAACACCTCACCATTCACACATGAGAGATGGTTGGATAAACATGACATCAGCACAACTAAGTGCTATGTAGTTCTGAAAGAGAACTGGGAAAAACTAGCTTTGTAACAAATCTGGAGGGTTTCCAAGATGTATTCTCTCTCTCTCTCTCTCTCTCTCTCTCTCTCTCTCTCTCTCTCTCTCTCTCTCTCTCTCTCTCTCTCTCTCTCTCTCTCTCTCTCTCTCTCTCTCTCTCTCTGTGTGTGTGTGTGTGTGTGTGTGTGTACATGGATGTTCATGTATATACAGGTACATGTTTGTGTGCATGTATGTTAAGTGTATGTATGTGGAGGCCAAAGGGCAACCTCAAGTGCTGTTCCTTGGGTGTCATGCACCTTGTTGGTATGTTTGTTTGTTTGTTTATGAGAGTATCTCAGTTGCCTTAAACTTGTCAAGTAATCTAAGATGCCTTGTTAGCAAGTCCCAGGAGATCTGATCATCTTTGCCTCTTCAGTGCTGGGATTACTTGTGAGCACCAACAGATTTGGTGACGTACAATTTTAATCTGAACATTCAAGAAAGATCTCTGTAAATTTGAAGCCAGCCTGGTTTACATAGCAAACTTCAGGACAGCCAAGGCTGCATAGTGAGACCTTGCTTCAAACAAACAAACAACAAAAGCCAACAAGTATACACCACCTCTGATGGTCTTTGATTCTTTGTCAACAGAAAAATGAATTGTTTCCATGATCAACAAGACCTACTTAGTCTTCTTATTGGTGTTTCATTCTAACTGTTGCAGTGAAATTGTGCATACATAGAGATGAATGACTTGCATCTTACCCTCCTTCACCGCCTCTGTGTCATCCACAAATGCAGATGGTGATATATCAGGAAACTGTCAGACACTGTCAGGCAGGGAGGAACAGGAAACAGTGTGGGGATGCTGAGAAGCTGGCTAGTTTCCCAGCTCTGAGTGACAGCAATGGATCTGTATTTTCAGTTGCATGAATGAAATCATGGGTGCTTTCCCCACTTAGCCAGGAACTTTGGGCATGTTGATGATGTTGGTATGTCTCATTTCAGGAATGACCATCCCCGAAGAAGACGCTGATGTAGGCCAAGGCAGTAAATATTGCCTTGTGGCAATTGGGAGGCTCCAGGTGAGCAAAATGCCTGTCTTTTCCATCTTCAATGAGGGCTTGTTACTGCCTGGGACAAGAGACTGAGTTTGGATGCCTCTTCAGAATCTGGAACTCCTGTGTGCTCAATATTTGTGGGGTTCTGTGTCTCACTGTGGGTCAAGTATAAGGCTAAGCCTGAAGATGAAAAAGGGGGTACCAGGAGGGGAAACACCACAGAGGCCTTGCTGTTCTTAGGGTTACCAGACCTCTCTTCCCATCTACACATTACTGCAGACATGAGTTCTTTCTGAAGTCACATCCTTGCTAAGCACCTTTAAAGTCTCCCATGGGCCTTGTGGGACAACGTCCAAAGTCATCATCCCATCCTCCTCCCCTTCCCTTCCTCCCATCTCACCACATCCTCTTACCAAACCACATTATTCCCTTCTCATGGCACCACCACATGGTTCCCCACCTCCCTGGCTATTTTCAAGCTGTTTCTTCCACCGTGTGTTTCTTAGTTGCCATTCTGCTTACAAACTTCCTTTTGTGTGCTTCCTGCCTTCTCATCCCTTGAGACCTAAATGCCAGTCTCCCAAGTTCACACTAAATGTTGCTTCCCATTGTGTGCTCTCATAACACAGAGTTCTCACCTCCACTTCATCTGCACGCTGTTTCCCATGGTTAGCGGAGGATATGCTTGTGCCTGACACGGTCCTCTGGGACAGGGATCCTGTCCTGTTAAAAGTTAATTTGTTTGAGTCTGAAGAGATGGCTTGCTGTTAAGAGAATTGACAGTTCTTCCAAAGAACCTAGGTTCAATTCCCAGTACCCACATGACAGCTCACAACTGTCTGCAACTCCAATCCCTGGGGGAATTGATGCCCTCTTCTGGACTCCTCAGGCACCAAGCACACAGGTGGTACTCAGACATACATGCAGGCCAAACACTCATACACATTAAGTAAATAAATAAAACTTAAAAATTTAAATTTACTTGATATCTGATCTATAGTAGCCCCTCAGTCAACCGGTTCATTCATTCTTCCATTGACATTTGGGGTATTTTCCAAACTGATGAAGGGAGGCATAGTTGACATAATATGGAAAGCTACTGTTTCTCATCCTTAGTCTCCTAAGTCTGACCATTATCAAACAAATGAATAAGCAGTTCATTCATAGAGAGAAAAAAAACTTAGATCTTCGCTGAGGTGTAAAATAGTTGGGTGAACTCAGTCTAGAAATACATACTTTTTGAGTCTCTACACCAGTTACAGAGAGGAAGATGAGAAGGGGAGAAAGTAGTAGCATTTGCTGAGCACCAGACATTTTCCAGCATAGCAGGCAGTAAAACATTTGTGAATTGTTGTAATTATTCATTATTCCCACTGACTCATAAGGAGAAAAATGCTCAGAAAGGTAAAGAAATTGGCCAAGCATTAATTAATCCCCCCACACTCACCTTTCCAGTGACACAGAAGGATGTGTGAACTTCAAGCTATGTAGATTCTTGCCAAGTCCTTATCTGCATCTTTGTCAACCCTCCATTCCAGGTGACCAGCTCTCCTGTGTGCATGGACATGAGTGGCATGTCAGTGCCCACGGAGTTCCTGTCCCGGCATAACTCTGATGGGATCATCACATTTGTGGACCCAAGATGCATCAGTGTGATTGGCTACCAGCCCCAGGTCAGTGGCTAGCCCTAAGCTCCCAAAAGCTGGTGAAAAAACTTAACTTTACTCAAAATGTGTTTATCTTCCTTGTTCAAGGTTCAGCACAATGACATCTTGGAGAAATCATGTAGGAGTCTAGATTCCCTGTTTGTATAGACTGACACCCTGTTCATCATAAGGCAATTCTACTTTAAGTGGACTCATTGTCTTGTCCTAGCCTTCCTGTAGCTCTTGCTGAGTTTTTGCAAAAGAGGGGGAGTTAAGATCAGTTTATTTTAATTACAAAGTTTGTTTATGTCTGAGATCTGTCAAGATGCCCAAGGGATATTGCTTAATCTTTTGGGGGAACCTTTCTATTGGGGCATATTTCCAGGTCTTTGCTCCAGATCCTTTGTTAAAAATCAGTGGCATGAGAAACACAGAAAGGCATGAGCCACCCAGGTGAAGCCAAGGAACCACAACCACATACAGTGAAAATCAAGATGTGTCCTAAACCTAAGGATCTCTACCTAGAGGGGACACTTAGGGACAAGTGTGGGGGGTATGGAGATGTTACCAAATGAGTATTTGAGTATTGACTCAATGGTGTTTTGGTTTTATTGTATGTTGACATTTAGTATATTAATGCTAAAAAGCCTTGTGGAGAAGTGTTATGGGATCTCCAACTTATTGCCATGTAATCTAGTTAACACACACACACACACACACACACACACGCACGCACGCACGCACGCACGCACGCACGCACGCACGCACGCACGCACGCACGTGCGCACGCACACGCGCACGCACACACACACACCCCTCTCATCTGCATTTGTGTGTGGACATCTATGAAGAAAAAGAAAGAAAATATTGGTAACATATTGACAACTGAATTGATGTAATAGATATGCAGGTATTTATTATATATCCTGTAACCTGTTCTATAGAATTTTTTTAAAATAAAAAAAATATTTAAAAAAGAAGGGGCTCTTTGTTCTAAGAAACAGACTTTGGGAAGCTTTGGAATGTGTTAGCATGAGTTATTTTAATTGCGTGTGTATTTTTCTTTTATTTACTTAAAGTTTTATCCATGCTGGAATCAGCCCTGATTAAGACTAGGAACAGTCTCAACCAAAAATACTAAAGACTTTCTATAATTCTGAAAGTAGATTCATGCAAAGTGTGGCCTCTCAGAAAGAATAAGGTAAATGTGGATGACCCTGACAGCAGTGCATTTCCGGACAGACCCAGGGATTCCTCCTCAGCTTCCCCTGAGTGTCTGTGTGCTCCTGGGGCATAGGAACTGCCCCTTGCTGCTGAGTCAGCTCACTTCAGGTGTGCTGATGCAGGTTCTCATCATTGAGTTAGCTTACATCTTTTGCTGTTGAAGACACTTCCCCAGAGCATGCTCAAAATTGCCCTTTGATTTTTTTTTTTTTTTTTGTATTCTGCTTCCATTCACTGTAATGCACCAGCATTATAGATGAAGGCTGGATCTTTCAAATAACACATAGATTAGTGAAGGTCAATACTGAACTGGCTTGAGGCAAGCACAGTTATTGTAGCCTCATTCGGCCACTAGTTTCCATCCTTAAACAGTTTTAGTTTTTGTGGGCAGTGTGTCTGTCCTTGAGCTTACTCTGGATGTTTTTAGAAATATGTTGATTGCAGTTTGCCTCTCCAAGGCAAACAGGAATAAAGTTGTGTTGTAAAGCTGCTGATCTAGCACCCAAGCAGAATTAGAAATCAGTGAGGAGTGAGCCAGCGGGATTTAGAATCGATACAAGGATGCCAACTCCTCAGTAGACAGGAGTGGGGGCATTTTACATTTAAGACTATGGTAGGCAGGCAAGAGGAGGTGGGCTCAGGGGGATGTAAGTGATACCTGTGTCTCCAGGGTGGGAGTAAGAAATGGAAAATGAGAATGGACTTTGGGGTTATTAAAGCTGTGTGTCCCCTTTAGGACCTTCTGGGAAAGGACATTTTGGAATTCTGCCACCCTGAGGATCAGAGCCACCTACGGGAGAGCTTCCAGCAGGTATTGCCCATGGCTGCTGCTGCTGATGCCTAGTGAGGTACCTGGGGGGTGGGGATGGTGAGAGGGATGGATGCCTACTGTGAGCTACCAGGCTGGGAATGCCCTACTACAATGTCAGACAGCCATTCTGGGCAAGAGTTCAGCATGGGAGTAAGATACATGAGGAAGCCATTGCTATGTGGCAGCAAAGGAGGACAGGCTCTGAAGAGTCTCCCCAAGTGCCAAGGCTAGAGAAGAGCTAGTTCCCAGGAGAGGGATCAGCTGACATGAGTTGTAATGGGACAGTACAAAAGAAATGAGGGAACATGCCATAGGAGGGGCCCAAGCCAGACAAGCCAGTGTGGCCTTCCAGGAGACTCCATAGCAGCTCCTAGGGCTAACAAGGAGGAAGTGGCAGGCAGTGAGGCCAGCCAGGCCAGGTCTTAGGCCTCCTGCACCATGTTGTAGGGCCTCAGTTCTCTCCCAGGTCACATAATGGTAAGTAGCAATTCCTCTGACTGGGTAAACAGAACAGAGCTTTGAAAGGCCACTTGGGAAGCCTGGGTACACAAATAAGTGAAAATAAAGATAAGTCAGGAAACCTTTAGAATGAGCAATAGTTCCCAGAGCTGTGCAGGACCCTTGAGAATCAGACATGGAAGACAACTTAAGTAGAGGATCATCCAGATGGGGATAGTGGGGGAGAAGCAGCCTGGCAGAATGGTCACCATAATAGTGGCACTCCATGCATTGTTTCTATTTACTGAGCACACACTGTATGACAGGCACCCATAGCACAGGTCACAGGAGGAAGGACTGCTGGTTCCTGGGGTGGTAGGGGAGCTTAGGAGAGGCTCACTAAAGCAAAGGGCCAGAGTGTCACACTTCAATGAGTTAGAGCTAATTCGGAATGACGCCTGTGAGCTCCTGAGCTGGCCTGGGAGGAGGGGAGAACTCACTCCAGCAGACTCTGACATACTCTGGGAAAAGGAGAAAATGGACATAAGGAAAGAGACCTTTGAGTCACTTTTCAAGAGGGAAAAGAGGAGTCTGCTGTCATCCATCTGGAGTATGGGCTTACTGGAGCATTTTGCTTTGCAAGTATCTCAGGCACAGTCAGGGGAAGGCCTCTCCATCTGCAGAGCCCTGAGCCTCCAACTTGGCACCTACATGGGCAGCACTCTGGGGCCCCCTTCCTCCCTGATCTCAGTTCTGTTCTTCCAATGTAAGTCCTTCCCACTTCTGGTTCCCTTTCCATTCCCTCGCCCCATTTGGTTGACTTATTCACACTCTTTTGCCGCTGTGAAGACAGAGTCTGACTTCAACCATAGAACTTACTTTTTATAAGCTCAAGCACTGGATGGCCCCAGCCAACTCATCTTCTAGCTTCATGCCCACCTTCTTCCAGGCAGCTCTTCACCTCTCCGTCTGAGGACCCAGGATCCTCCATACCCAGCATACTGCCTCTTCTCTCAGCGGCCACTCCCTCACACCACTCCCATCCAGTTGCTCAGGACAAAGCTCAGCATCCCTTAGGCATAGACCACGTGGCAGGCCCTCCTGGGACACTTTCACAAGACACTATGATGTCTCCCTGTTTTCTTCTGTCATCCATGTCCCCTCCTATCTGACGGTTGCATATGTTCCCTTGCTATGTCTCTGCCTCTGTTGTCATTTCACTCCAAGCCTTTGTTAAAAAAGAGAAAGAAAAGAAAAGAAAAAAACTGGGTTTGTTGCATCTAGAATTAAATATGCATTTCTTCCCATAGCTCTGGTCCTATTCCATGCTCCTTCAGACAAAATTCTTCAGTCCCAAGGCTTCTCTTGCCTTCTTGAACATTCTCTTTCCCATCTTCTGACTATGACTGATTCATCCCCTGGTTGGAATACTACCCTCTACTCTTCACATGACTGATACCTTTCAACTCATGCCATCCATGAGATCTTACTAAGAAAGGTCCAAAGTCCTCCCCTCCTTTTTTTCTCCTTTACCATGTGTCATTTCTTTTGTCCACTTCCTCTTTTTTGATCTCCTTCACTGCAACCTGGCTTTACTGTGGACAGACCCCCATGCCTGTACTCGTGGGCATCATCTCCATGAGGGTGGATTTGAACCAAGCTGCCTAAGCAGACCAGAAATTACAGCAGGTGGCTTCCTCCCATTTGGGGAAAAATGTGCTTTGTGCCACGTTTGCTACGTGTGTGGAAGTGAGAGTAACTTTGTCTAGCCAGCTCCGGGCTCTGTTGGTTTCATCTTTCTGGGTGTCTGAATGTGAATCTCTCATGATGATGAGCCTGTCATCCTGTTTCTGGAAATTATCCAGATCCTTCTTCATGTGTTTTCCCATAGAATCCCCAACCATACCTCATGAATATTGTCATCATGCTTTTCCTAATATACAATGGGACTAAGAAAGTTTTGAGTGTCTTCTAGCACCACTGTCATCATGATGAAATGTGTCTAAACAAAAAGAATAGGTGTGAAGGAGGAGCCTGCTTTAAGTTTCTCTCTTCTGTTTGACCTCTTGGCTCACTGACTGAAAAGGGGATTCTGGGAGCGGATAAACTTTCCTGGCCCCTGGGAAGGTACACTGACCCCATACTAAACTCAGACCTTGTGTGTGTTCCATGGGCTTCCTGTCTGGGCAGTTCAGTGCTTTTGTTTAAAACCAGAGTTCAAGGGCTGACTCAGCTTTCTCAAGAACAAACCACTTCCCTTTATCAACATTGGTCCTCCTTCATTGTTGGTGGCCAGTTCCCAAAGAACACAAACTCAGGCCAAGTCTGGGTGTGCCTAGGGATGTCTTTATGGCTGTACAGTTGCTGCCCATGTGTCCTGGACCTGAGCCAGGACTCCCCCGCCCCCGATGCCACAGCCTTGGTTTCCCTTTTATAACGGATGAGGTAGATAATCTCAATACAAGTTATTGAAGTTGCCTACCAGGGTGAGATGAGATGTTCAACTCCCTTTTCTTTTCAAACCTGCTAAGTTCTTGTGGCATCTGTAGTTTTTACATAGTCAAATGTGACAGAGGGTAGAGTGGACCCCAGGTGAGATGTGAGTGGATCTCTGGAGGCCCTGGTCTTGCTGTTATGATCCAGAGCAGGAGGGATGGATGGCAGGTGATGGTGATAATGATGAAGGTTTATGGTCATCACTGGTGTTAACGGTGATGATTGTAGTGGTAGTGATGGTGATGATAATGGTAATGACTATGATGATGTTGATGGTCATGCTAGTAATGGCTTTGACTGTGACAATCATAAATGATTATGGTGGTGATTGTGATAATGATGGCAATGGCAATAGTTGTGTGATGATAACGGTGATAGTAGTGATTGTGGTGGTGATGATGATGCTGATAGCAGTGGTGGTAATGGGGATAGTAATGATTATGATGCTTATGATGGTGGTGATGGCAGTGATTATGACAGGTGACTGTGTGATTTTGATGGTGAGGGCAATAATTGTGATGGCAATGGAAATTAGTGTGAGGACATTGACAGTAAGTGTGAGGTGATGCTAATAGTAGTGATTGTAAGGGTAATGATGGAAATAGGAATGATGGTGGGTGATGATGGTGATAGCAATGGTGGCATTTTGAATAAGAATGGCCCCCGTAGGCTCATGCATTTGAATGCTTGGTCGTTAGGGAGTCCTGCTACTTGACATGGATTAGGAGGTATGGCCTTATTGGAGTAGGTGTGGCCTATTGGAGGAACTATGTCACTGGGGGTGGCCTTTGGTGTTTCAAATGCTCAAGGCAGGCCCAGTGTCTCTCTCTCTACCTGCTGCCTGTGGTTCCAAAGGTAGAACTCCCAGCTACTTTCCAGCACCATGTTTGCCTGCTTGCCACCATGCTCCATGCCAAGATGATAATGAACTAAACCTCTGAACTGTAAGCTGGCCATAATTCAGTGTTTTCCTTCATAAGAGTTCCTGTGGTCAGGGTGTCTCTTTACAGCAACAAAACATTTATTAAGGTGATGGTCATGATTTAAAGGTGATGATGATGATGATGATGATGATGATGATGATGAT